GTGATCTCTGCAAATCGAAAAGTGTCATAATTGATAAATGATAAATTTATAGATAGTATACCTTATATCAGAATCGGCTAGTTACGTTTAGATTGATACGACTAGCGTTCCTGACAATCGAGTCAAATTTGAGATCTGCGAGTTAATGAGTTTATAAAATGGCAATGTAAAATTACTTAACATGTAGTTATCTTAATATTTCTCAACTAATTCGGGTTACGCACCAATTAGATAGGTTCTATTTTCTGATCAGGTTGATCTGAACAAACCCGCTCTCTTAGAAGTATTAGATACGAATACATTTTATATTACATATATGTGGGTAACGATTGTATACAAGAGCCTTTTTTATACGCTCGTAACTTTTGATAAAAATCAATATCTTTATTACTAAAGTTTATTTAAAATTTCATTACAACTTAATTTGCAATCAACAAGTTTCAATTTTAATACACTGCATATATATTAATTTAATAACATTTATTTATTCGTTTATTTATTATGATAAAATAATTAATATTACATACAATATTACCAAAAAAAAAAATCTACTGGTATCCGTTAGCTATTACCTATAATTTAGATAATACCCAGGCCACACGACAAGGACGTCGATACCAAAAGTGACCCAAAAAAAAGCTTTCACAACCTGGGTTTGCGAAAGTAAAAAAAAAATATACCCGCCAGAGAGATTTAAACCTATTATAAAGCAGAAGTTAAAAACAACAAAAAATTATACTTACCTACTCTCTGGGGGTAAAGGGGCCTTTCCCAGGTAAGGAAGGTGGCATCTATTCCAACCCGTTCTTCACGCTCTTCTTGCGCGGGTTGGTCACTGCTCTATAAAAAAAACTACTTACCTTGAAAGAAACCCATGTTTGGGAATCTTTCAAAAACGAAAAAGTTAAAATAGGCATAGCAACTGAACACAAATGTGTACAAAACGATATACTTATCTTAGTGCTGTAGTAAAGGTCTATAACTTCAAATAAAAGTTTTTTGCAGAAAGCATACGCGTAAATAACGTAAAAATAAAATAAAATTTACTGCATTTATCATTACGTCCAAATAACCATTTTTGGGGTTATATAATGATCTACATGCTGCATAAATTATATTCTTGATATCTATATAACCCGCTCACCTTAACAGAATCAAAAAAGTAACTCTAACTGGTACTTGGCTTTAACGTTCCCCCCATTTTTGGGGGTCGTTTACATATTGATCTACAATTATTTCAAAATCAAAACGACAATACAATCCAAAAGGAATTTTTATCTTGTAAATAAACTTCATGATATAAAATATCTTATAAAAATACTACTCATTTTGCTATGCTAATAAAAATTAAGAAAAATGTCAAAAAAAAAACCTAGAACGTGATTGAGACAATGATGATAATGACCGGTCAGCTACAGAATATGTTAGATCAAATATAAACTTGACCTTTATTTTTAATTTATAGAGGCATTGATATACAATAAACAGAAAGAACTATTAATGCCATCTTCTATATAACCCTAACCGGTAAAAATTTTACAAACAGTATTTAGAAACAGTGCAAATTCATATGATTAATTAGTTAGCAGTTAGGGTAAGAATTGTTCATAGAGTTTCCAGAAGGGTTAAAGACAAATTAGAGTTATGTAAGGGGTGGCATTAACAAGTCTTTTTTTTTATCTGTATTGTCTTCGCAACAATTATTGTGACGGATTAAAATGAAATGAGTGAAAATGTTAAATAGACAAAATACAGTGCATTTTTTTAGGGTTAGGATTAGTGCTTAGGGGTAGAAATTATAATAAACAAGTATAAGTGGGTTTTAGGGGTCAAATAGAGATCCCTCGTTTCATTTTAATCCGATTTCATTATGATCCGCAACAATTATTATAGAATAAAAAAGGGAAAAACAATTATTATAAAGTTTTAAAATCGTAGTAATAACCTGCATCTTAGTCGTCATCAGAAAGCACATAATTTATCTCGTCGTCATAAAAATAATTCTCATTCTTCTCATCAAAGGATCCTGAGTTAGGATTAAATAATAATCGGGTATACTTATAGTTGGCGGTAGAATTATTGAATTACGGCATTTTACCTGATGGTAGAATTAATTATGGCACAGTACCTAGGGTTGAAAATTTCACGTAACATTGATTTCATGTAAATTTCACACGTGATATAGTATCAGTAATATGAAAAGCTCAGCTAGCATTAGATTCTGCATAAGGTAATTACTTATTACGTAAAAAAATCAAATCACTTTACGCGACAATTTACTGATAATATATACTTACAACTAATAAGATGCTAAATTGTCGCATAGTGTGATTTAACTTTTTACGTAATAAGTAATTACCTTGCCCATCTCTGGACAAAATCGATGTACTTTTATGTGGAAAAAGGGACGAAATTGACAAAAAAAAAAAGATCTTCGGGAAAATCAATTTTTATGTTATAAATTTACGACAGGGGTTGCGAAATAGTAAAATCCGCTATGATCATCGCATGAAGTTAAAAACATAATAAAAAAACGCAGATTTCACCCTAACCCGATCTACAAAACGGATTTCACTATTTCGCAACTCAGGTTTCACCTTGTTCTATAAATTTTATAACAAATCACTATTTAAATTGATTTATATAAAAAAAAATCCTTTTGAAAAAATTGTCATTTTCGTCCTTTTTTCCAACACCTAGCCCATATGATCCAACCAATCATATGAGCATATGATCAGGTTTCTTACAAATTACATGAAAACCATGTTACTGAAAATTAGGGATGTTAATCGGTCTTTTGGGACCGAATCCTAACCGGCCCTTATAAGGACCTGCAGGATCGGTAAGGACTCTCCCTAAATCACAATACGTTTTATAGGACTTGGATCCTGAATTGAATTATTATAACAATACAAAATTAATTTGATTGGATGAAATTACTCAATAGATTCAATTCAGTCTAAGTCCTATAAAATGTATTGTATTTTCATGTGGTTTAAAGGATCGAGTCTTTTTAGATCCTAGGATCGGACCGGACTGGATTCACAATTTAACATCCCTACTGAAAATTTACAAAATTACGTAAAATTACGGTAATTTGACAGACCTAAAGTTACCTATTGCCGTAAATATTATATGCCGCAATGCTGTAATGTCGTAATGTCGTAATTATAGATGCTGGTGAAATTGGTGAAACTGGTGGCTATCTAAAATCTGATTGGCCGCTATAATAAATTTCACCAATTTCACCAGTTTCACCACCATTCACCAAGAATTTCACCAGTTTCACTAGCATCTGTAGTCGTAATGCCATAGTTTCAAAGCAATTCTTGAATGTGTGCCAAGTTTACGACGCAGCAAAATTCTTTAATTAACCGTAGCTGCCGTCCCTCGGCTAACAGTAGATCTCATAGGCAGAATTTTGTCTGATTGGCTAATAAATTCAATTTAATTTTACATTATTTATACAGTTTAGAGTACTTTT